CCCCCCCCCCGCCCCAGCGCTTCTCAGCGGCTCAGTGGACCCGCCCAGTGCCTCCTCCGCACGGACAGTTCGATTCCGCGCCGCACTGCGCCCCTCCTCCCCGCCCCTCTCCTGCTTGTCCTCAGCGTTCCCCAGCTGCCCAGTGGAACCTCCGCCCAGTGCCCCCGTCCGCCCCGACCATTTTATTCCGCGTCGCACGGCGCGCCCCGCCCCCGCCCCCCATCCCCCCTTTCCCCAGCGTTCCCCAGCAGCCCAGTGGACCCCCTGCCCGCCCCGTGCCCCCTCCGTCTCCGTTTCGGGTCCCTGGGGAGTTCTCCGGGTCCTCTGTAATCTTTTCGGGTGTTCGTTGGAGGCCTCCTTAGAGCACGTTGGAAGTCTTGGAGGCCGTCTCGCGGGGGGGGGGACCTTGGAGCCTTCTCGAGCTCGCCCTGTCAAGCCCATCTTGCGGCCCTCGTTGGGCCCTCCTCCGATTTCTCGCACCCTATATCCCTTCCCCGTCCTCCTCCTTCACCTCCTCCTCCTTCCCCCCCCCTCTGTGCAACAGCCATGGCGCGCGTGCCACTTATTTACAATGAAATGCGATGGAGGAGGAATTCGAGGAGGAGGAGGAGGAGGAGGAGGAGAAGAAACATACTAATAAGACGAATAAGACGATTACTAGGAATACTAAGGATAATAATAATACGAATCAGACTAAGAAGCAGAAGAAAGAGGTGAACGAGGCGGAGGAGGAGGAGTAGGAGGAGGTGGGGGGAGGGAGTAGGGACCATGATGGAGGAGGACCACAGGGGAGTTGGGAGTGGCGTGGCGAGAAGGAGGAGGAGGGACGCAGGCAGCTGAATGTGAGTTAGTGTGCGCGCATAGCATTATCTGCCAGTGATGAAGGCAGGGGGTCGATAACGGCACTCCCTGTGTAATTCTAGACGCTTCGCGTATCCCCACCAGCCCGTCCAGAAATGAGTCCCAGGGGAGTGGAGGTTATGAGGGAAGCGGGGGAGCATGCAGAAGAACAAAGGGCGGGGTGAGCCGCCATATACCCCAAGAGGGGGAGGATGTAGGAGGAGCCGTCGTCGTCGGAGTAGGAGGAGGAAGAGGAGGAGCAGGAGGAGGAGCAGGAGGAGGAGGAGGAGGAAGATAAGGAGGAGGAGATGGAGGACTGCGAGGACGAGGAGGACGAGAAGGAGGAAAAGGAGAAGGAGGAGGAGGAGGAGGAGGAGGAGGGAGGGGGAGGGGGAGGAGGGAGGAGGAAGAAAAAGAGGAGGAGGAGGAGGAGGACAATGGCGAGCTTGGGGGCCTCTTGGGCCGTCTTTGGGGCCTCTTGGCGGTCCCGGGGGCCTCTTGCGTATCTCGGGGGGCCTCTTGTGGCCTCTTGGGGGTCTCTTGGGGGCCTCTTGGAGGCCTCATGGGGGCCTTTTGGGGCCTCTTGGGGCTCTCTTGGGGCGCTCTTGGGGCGCTCTTGGGAGCCTTCGAAGCGCTCTTGGGGCCATCTTGGAGGAGATCTATCAAAGAAGGGGGGTTCCCCAATTAGCGCTGCCCCTCTAGAGTGCCTCGAGTCGCCTCTTGGGCGCCCCAAGAGGCCAAAATCCTTCCAAAACCTAGGTAAAATCAATGTTTGTTGCTTTCTCGCCTTTTCGCTCTTGGAGCCGTCTTGGGTCATCTTGGACTCTCTTGGGGCCTCTTGGGGGTCTCTTGGCAACGTCTTGGAGGCTTCTTGGGGGCCTCTTGGGGTCTCTTGGGGCCCTCTTGAGGCGCTCTTGGGGCGCTCTTGGGAGCCTTCGGGGCGCTCTTTGGGCCATCTTGGAGGAGATCTATCAAAGAAGGGGGGGTTGCTTATTAGCCCCGGCCCTCCAGAGTGCCTCGAGTCGCCTCTTGGACCCCCCCAAGAGGCCAAAATCCTTCCAAAACCTAGGTAAAATCAATGTTTTTACCTAACAGCGAAGACTGATAGGTTTCTAGTTGACTCAAAAGAGCTCACAGATCACTCCACAGGGGGGTCCGGGCAGGTGTTGGGGAGTTGCCGGGCGGCAGGGTGCCGGGCTCGTTTTTCACCAACAGTCACACACTTCGTGCTCTTCGACTTCCCAGAACTCCATTCCCAGGCCACATTCTGAATACCCGGATGCAACAGTCACACACTTCGTGCTCTTCGAGATCCCAGAACGCCATTCCCGGGCCACATTTAGAATAACCGGATGCAACAGTCACACACTTCGTGCTCTTCGAGTTCCCAGAACTCCATTCCCGGGCCACATTCTGGAGGGCCGGATGCAACAGTCACACACTTCGTGCTCTTCGAGTTCCCAGAACTCCATTCCCGGGCCACATTTTGGATGCCCGGAGCCAACTGTAGGCCACTTCGTGCTCTTCGAGTTCCCAGAACTCCATTCCCGGGCCACATTTTGAATGCCCGGAGCCAACTGTAGGCCACTTCGTGCTCTTCGAGTTCCCAGAACTCCATTCCCGGGCCACATTTTGAATGCCCGTAGCCAACTGTAGGCAACTTCGTGCTCTTCGACTTCCCAGAACTCCCATTCCTGGGCCACATTTTCAGCAGGGGCAAGAGCACGACGAGGAGGAGGACGAGCAAGACCAGGAGGACGAGGACGAGCAGGAGCAGGACGAGGAGCAGGAGGAGCAGGAGAAGAAGGACGAGCAGGAGGAGGAGGAGGACGAGCAGGAGGAGGAGGACGACCAGGAGGAGGAGGACGACCAGGAAGAGGAGGAGGAGGAGGAGGGGAGGGGGAGGAGTACCAGGAGGAGGAGGAGGAGGAGGAGGAGGAGGAGGAGGAGGAGGAGGAGGAGGAGGAGGAGGAGGAGGAGAGGACGAGGAGGAGGAGGAGGGGGGGGGAGAGTACCAGGAGGAGGAGAACGAGGACCACCAGGAGGAGGAGGAGGAGGAGGAGGAGGAGGAGGAGGAGGAGGAGGAGGAGGAGGGAACACCACGAGGAGGAGGACGAGCAAGACGAGGAGGACGAGAACGAGGACGACCAGGAAGAGGAGGGGAGGAGGAGGAGGGGGGAGGACTACCAGGAGGAGGAGTAGGAGGAATAGGGAGGAGGACGAGGAGGAGGAAGGAGGAGGACGAGGAGGAGGAGGGTCCAGAGCACCAGGGAGGAGAGAGGAGGAGGAAGGAGGAGGAGAGGAGGAGGAGGAGGAGGAGGAGAGGCACCAGGAGGAGGAGGACGAGCAAGACGAGGAGGACGAGAACGAAGGCGAGCAGGAGGAAGAGGAGGAGGAGGAGGAGGAGGACAGGAGAAAGAGGAGGAGGAGGAGGAGGGCAGGCGTGAGGCTGAGGCCGCTGCGACTGTCATCGCGAATGCGACTACGACTGCGAGAACAGCAGAATTCGACAACTGGATTTTCATCTGAATCTTAAGGGGAATGCTTTCAGATATGCTTCTACACATCGCTGTTAGGTTGCTTTGCCGGGATAATGTGTTTTCTCGCCTTTTCGCTCTTGGAGCCGTCTTGGGTCATCTTGGACTCTCTTGGGGCCTCTTGGGGGTCTCTTGGCAACGTCTTGGAGGCTTCTTGGGGGCCTCTTGGGGTCTCTTGGGGCCCTCTTGAGGCGCTCTTGGGGCGCTCTTGGGAGCCTTCGGGGCGCTCTTTGGGCCATCTTGGAGGAGATCTATCAAAGAAGGGGGGGTTGCTTATTAGCCCCGCCCCTCCAGAGTGCCTCGAGTCGCCTCTTGGACCCCCCCAAGATGCCAAAATCCTTCCAAAACCTAGGTAAAATCAATGTTTTGTGTTTTCTCGCCTGTTCGCTCTTGGAGCTGTCTTGGGCCATCTTGGACGCTCTGACACCTCGCGACCGGCCCCGTCCAGGTCAGTGGGGAGGGGTAAGGGGAGGGGTAAACCCCTCCCCGAAGGGGAAGAAGGGGGTTGGCAGAGGAAACTCACTAGACCACCTACGCCCTAAAGGGCTGGTGGGATTTTTTTGTAACAGCGAAACAAGTTTTTTAGCCGTTGGGCCCGCAATCAGGCCGAGACGACGGGCGGCGCCGGGGCGGTGACGGCGAGCACGGAGCCAGAAGACCGACAATCAGGCCCAGTCGACGGGTTAGTGTTGAGGCGGCGATGGGGCGGCGACGGCGAGCACGAAGCCGCCAGACCGACATTCAGGGCCAGTTCCTTAGAACAGAAGTGCGAACCCTAAGTGCAAGCACTGTTTGGGGAACAAGATATCTGGAACATAACATGTGGAAGCTGATTGGATGGAAGACTGTTGTTTTTTTTAACTCGTGTTCTCGCTTGATTTTTCAAAGTTCAGGATAAGAAGTACAATCCTGTGCAGCAGTTGCACAGGTGGGAGCCCGTCCTGTTTCAAAACGCTGATCTCGCTCGCACCTCTCTGAACTGTATGATCAGACCTTATTGTTCGCAGAGAGGGTGTAACGCAGTTGCTTTTCAAACCGAGGGTCGCAGGCCCATGCGGTGCTGATCTTCCAAAGGGGCGCCTTTTACAGTGAAAAGAAGGCTTGCAGGCATGAGGGCGGACGCTGGGACGGGAGGGTATACTACGGTGTCGTTGGTGCATCTTGGGCCCACTCCGATCCTACAACCTCCCCGCCCTCATCTTGAAGTCCTCGGAGGTCCCTGGAGGCCTCCGGAGGTCCACAGAGGTCCCCCGAGGCCTCGATGGCCCCCAAGGCGCCGAAGGGCTGCAGACGGCAGGAAGACATCGCTCGTCGATCCTCGATCATGATCCCGCCAGCTCGTCCTCCTTCTCCCCTCCTCCTCCTCCTCCTCCTCCTCCTCCTCCTCCTCCTCCTCCTCCTCCTCCATCTCCTCCTCCTCCATCTCCTCCTCCTCCTCCTCCTCCTCTACCTGGTGCGTCGGTGACTGCAGGGACCAGGACGGCCCCATGCGGGGCCACGTCCGCGGCCCTGGAGCGTCGAGCATGGCACGTGCGCCTTCTCCCAAAAGCGGAGCAGTGCGGCAGGGCAGCGGCAGGGCCGAGGGCGCCGCGGCGAGCCGCCGAGCCAGGAGGTAAAGGGCAGATTGGGGAGTGTCTTCGGGCAGCTTCACCCACGGGTTCGGCATCGATGAGCCCGACTCGGTCGCCGTCGTTCTGCACTTCGGGGTCAGCACGCTGCACCTCTGAGTGCAGGCTGGGCGGACGCCCCACTGTCTCGACAGAAGTCTGGTCCGCCTCTCTTCGCTCACTGGCTGCACTGGCTGCGAGCTTGTGAAAAACAAGAGCAGGTACAACATATCATTGGGCAGTCGGATAACTTGACGTCAATAATGTGCGTATCGTGTGGAATAGTCCTCCGCCGTCCTCGTCCTTCCTCCTGCTCCCCTTTCCCTTTTTTCTTTTCCCTCCCTCCCTCCTCGTCCTCCTCCTCATTCTCCCTCCTCCCTCGTGCTCCCTCCTCCCTCATCCTCGTCCACATCGTATGGCATCCCCACCCTCCCTCCTCCCTCCTCCTCCCCTCCCCCCCCGAGGTGCCCCCCCTCCTCTCTCGCTCCGCGGCCTCTCTGCCCCCCGCAGCACTTTTCTCTTGCAGCCTCGTCCTCGCACCGGGCCTCCCCGCGCAGCGTCCGGAGCCAGGTGCGGAGGGGGGCCCGGGCGCCTGGCAAGGGGGGGCGATAACCCAGAGAGCCGACGATCCCACAAAATTGCTGCGGTGGGTTTCGGCCGATTTCGGCCTCCGGGGGCCCTCGCCGGGCCTCGGGGCCAACACACGGCCCAGGGCGAAGAGTTTGCCCTGGGGAGCTGGTCCAGACCTCCCACGCGTGGCAAGAAGTTGGAGCGGCTGGGTGTCTGGGGCGCGGGAGTGTGACGAAAAGTGCCTTCTCGTGTCCTAAAGGGGCCCGAGAGGGGCTCAGGTCGGGCAAGAAAGGAGCACATTTCCCCCCCCCCAATTCATCGGCCCCCCATCAAGCAGCGCCCAAGGGGCCAGGTTTTGACGGCGCCTCCGTCCAGTGAGGAGGGAGGACGGGAAGAAGGTTTGGTAGCAGTTTTTGGGAGCCTTGTATACCGTCTTAGTTCCGTCATTGGCGTCGGTTAGCGTCGAGTAGCGTCTGGCAATCAATGAATGAGCGCCAAGTTAGCATCGATTGGCGTCGGCCAGCGTCGATTCAAGGAGAAGAAGGGCCCAGACCTCCGAAGTAATGAAAACAAGGCGGCGCGATTACTTCTCGCTTTCGGCGTCCAGGGGGCCCTCGCCGGGCCCCGGGACTAGGAGCCGGAGGAGAAGTGAGGAGCATCGAGGAGCAGCGAGGAGGTAGTGCCGAGACCGCCCCGCCGCGAGCGCCTCCACCCACGAGAGGCCTGCGGGCCAAAGGAGTTGGGGTCAACGGACCAGCGACCCAGGGCTGCGCCTGTCTGCACGCCCGGGCCTCCCAGTCTTCCAGCCATCCCGACCGATGGAGCACGAGGGGGAAAAGGAGGAGGAGGAGGAGGAGGAGGAGGACCAGTGGAACCCACGACTCATCAACGATGTTGGGATGAACCCTCACCGAGCTCCCTCTGCATAGGCCACTACAAAGCTTTATTCCCACTGAGGGAAGTGCCTCTTTGGAAGACAACCGATTAAAGATTCTGACGCGCGCCGAAGCGCCATTCTCGGAGATCTGACGATCCTGACTCGTGCCAAAACACTTTTCTTGGGACTTCAACACCACGAATCCACGCAACACCACGAATGTACGCAAACTGTCGCGCCCTGACAAGCCTAAATCGTTCCCAGAGACCATGTCTGGTACGTTAACCATGGGAATCCGTGGAGCTCGTGCAACTGTTTACGACGAATGTGCGCAGCGCTAAGGCGAGAGCCACATGTTTGAAAATGGAACCGCCCTCAATCCGTGAAGCTCTTGCATTGTTTTAAGACGAATGTGCGCGGCGCCACAGCGAGAGCCACATTTCTGAAAGCCGCCTGCCCTCAACCCGCGAAGATCTTGCAATCTCTTAAGACGATTTCGCGCCGCGCTAAGGCGAGAGCCACATTTTGAACACTGCCCGCCCTTACTCTGCGAAGCTCTTGCATTTTGTAAAGACGAATGTGCGCGGCGCTCAGGCGAGAGCCACATTTTGAAAGCGACCCGCCCTCCATATGCGTGACACTTTTGCCAATCTGTAGGCTTACGGACCATCAATGGTAAGGAAGTCTCTGGCGAAATGCCCGACCCACCCTTCCGACTGGCCTCGGGGTGCGACAGGGGGCAGTTATTCAAAAGGAAGAGGAGGAAGAGAGGAAGGAGAAAGAGGAGGAAGAGGAGTAAGAGGAAGAGGAGGAGGAGGAGGAGGAGGAGGAGGAGGCGGAGGAGGAGGAGGAGGAGGAGGAGAGGGTGATCAAGGGTCGAGATGTTTATTTAGTTTTCGGCGACCTGGGGACCTCCAGAAGTTTCGGGGGTCCTCTGCACGGGGACCTCTGGGGGCATTCTGTGCCTCCTGGGACCCTCGGAGGAGGAGCAGACGGATGAGCAGTAAGGATTCCGATGGTGTCCAGAGGCTTCATGAGATCTTCGGAGGTCCACAGAGGTGGAATAGGACAGGAGAGCGAGGACGAGGATGAGGAGGGGGGACGATTCCAAACGTTCGGAGGTTTGCGGGGTGAGGGGGAGGAGGAGGAGGCGGAGGAGGAGGAGGAGGAGGAGGAGGAGCAGGAGGAGGAGGAGGAGGAGGAAGAGGAGGAGGAGGAGGAGGCGGATGAGGAGGAGGAGGATGAGGAGGATGTCCGACAAGCCGGAAGTGGCAGTAGGACTGAACGAGCAGAACAGCAGGCATCAGGAGCAGCTGGAGGAGCAGGCGAAGCGTCGGGGCAACCGCACCCTCCGACCGAGATCACCCGCATCGATGTCGACATCCCGTCCCTGATGACCAATAGAGACGATGGCGTCTCCACAGCGTAGAAACTGACGCCGAAAGCTGTCAGTCCACTACGAGGGTTCGTCGGCACACCTGGCAGAGACCCGTCATTACCACCGACGCGGAAGCACCCCGCACCAGCAACAAGGCGCTCGAGCGCATGAAAGGCAATAAGGGCAGCCATCGACCCCAGCGAGCTGCATCTGATCGTACCGATAACCGTCGCCTACGAGACCATCGACTTGGCTATGAATGGCGACGCAGCCGACATCGGTGAGGATGCCATGGAATCCTACTGACGCTTCCGACGTGGCGTTGGACCGACCAGAGGCCACGCCGCACATGGTGAGTCTAGAGCACCACCACCTACACATGACCCTGACCAGATCGACCCACCGCAACGGGACAACCCTGCCCTCCAACCGATGATGGAAGACATCCTTCTGATGGGAAGACTGCGGGACCCTGACACACCACGAGGACCTGCCATGGCGCCCTCCAGACGGCGTTCAAAAAAGCAGGCAGCTCTTACATCCAGGGCAATGGAAAGATGGACGACGTGGTGAACACACGACTACCACTACCACTGCCAGGAACTTTTTTTCTGACGGTGCCACAGAGCACCACGACACCTGCATGGGCGACGGACGGGACACGACTGCGAATTAGTGTATGAGAATTGGAGGAGGATGCGGGATACCGGTTCGAATTTCTACGAACGCACTGGAGGTTGCAAAGGGGTGTGGTATAAAAAGGTGCAGTGCCAATGCTGAACATGGCGATGTTATCAACGATAGCCGCAAGTGCGTTGCATCCCCATTTCAACAACATTTGCTTTGCGCGGGTCGCCTCAAGCAACGTCAGAGCTCTTGATCTCAACTTCCCCAACCGACCGCAGGCTTTTGTGAACGTCGACACTACACCTGTTCCCATACGCCCGATCACCAAGCACGTAATTTCGTACATCCCGAATCGCGAAAAGCGTAATTCTGGAGTTTCCGTCTCGCCCTACACGTAGTTCCAGAAATTCCAGAATTTAGAAATAGTGTTGCGTTCAATGCAAACCGTAATTCCGGAAAATCCGAAACGACGTTCTGAAATTCCGGAGTCACAAATTGAATTCCGGAAAGTCCAGAATCTCCGGAATCGCGTGCCTGGCGATATGGCGTCATGGATTGGGCCTTTTTTCAGCCACGCGGCGCATCCCTGCTTCTCAGAAGGCGCGGGTCTTATCTATAGAGGTAAGGCCGGCGCCTTCTAAGAAGCAGTTCCTTCTAAGAAGCCCTCCCCCCTCCTTCCACCCCCTTGTGCGCGCCGCCACTTCTTGTCGCCGTTCAGATTGGACGGCGGTCGCCTGGGGCGTTATAATTATTCTAACGACTTTGTTTGAGGCGGTCGACGCAAAGCCAGCGTTGTTGAAATCGGGGTGCATCGCATTTGCGGCTATCGTAGATCACATCGCTATTCCCAGCATTGGCACCGCACCCCTTTATACCACACCCCTTTGCGACCTCCAACCGCCCTTCGACAGATATGGCAGAAGGCCACTGTGCAGGCAGAGGCATATCGCAGGCCCGTGCTCAAGGACCAGCTGCGGCGGTCACTGCCCACCACGTCCACCAGCGACGGAGGTCAACCGATGACGACCCTTGCTCCGTGCGAGAGGGCCACTCACCAGGGGACCACACAGAGAGGCGTCCAGCGAAAGAGGCGGTTCGATCAACCTTCACAGCGACAGAACCGATCGCCGACGTACTCAGACGCACCTTCCCGCCCCATCATGCAACCGACTTTACTGACCTACGCGAGCTAGAACAAATACCACCCAGAAACCATCATGGCACTCGAACTTGCCCTCCCAGAAAACATGGAATGATCGAGCGGATGCACCGACGGCGCCCACCAGGACGAGTCTACCAAAGATGCATGGGCTGTGGTGATCACCATCGAGGACGAGGACGGCTTCGCCTACGCCAGCACCATGGCAGCCAAAGTCGCGGATTCCGTTTCGATTGGCACAGACAAGGCTACATCGATTACCTCAGAGCTGACGCCACTAATCTGGGCTCAGGCTTGGATTGCAGCCGACCAGGCACCGGCATACAACAACCCGCCAATGACGGTCCATACCAACTCCAAGGTTACCATTAGACTTACCACACAAAAGCTGCCACCTCGCCGCTCTCACCAGCCAACTACACCAGCTAGTCTCCACCTCCTCCCAGCTCCGCACAGACCACGTCTACGCACACAACGGGCACCCTTGGAACGAGCCCACCGAACTACAT